CATGAGATGATCCAAAGGAATAGATTTGAATTCTTAAGAAAATGCTCCATGATTCAAAAAAGACTAGAAACCACCAAATTTTAGGTCAATGTGCAAATACATTGCTCTTTACTGAGTCCCAGGACATTGCTCTCACTCTGCAGGGGTCATCGCAGCTTTGTAAATCAAGGCACACTCAGGTGTCCCTGGAGGCGCAGACATTTACAGCCATGCGTGGCTGCACACAGGACACGGTTCTGCCAGTGGGAGACAAGCTCTCTCTGCTGCCCACCCAGCTCCCACCACCAGCAGGACATAGCTCCGTGGCTAGCCACCGACGGTGGTACCCTGACACAGACTCTTGTCAAGGTCAGCCTTTGCAGTACAGCGAACATCACCACCGCAAAGGATTCACGTCCTTCCTGAAAATACTGGAGACTTCCCGGGCCGTAACTTACCTCTAAGCATTCATGTAAGTCCCTGACATAAGCCTTTTCCGTCTGAAGCAGCTCAGCCATAATGAATCTGAAAAAAAGAATTTCAGGTATTTTGGACATTATAGGCATTTGTACAATGAACAGAAAACAAAACATCCTTCTGTTGTCTTCATGAATCAGTGTACTTCCACTCTAAGCCTTCAGCTGCCTCACTTTGCACCTTTCAGCTCCAGGAATGAAATACCACTTCATACTCTAGTCCCTTGTAGGGCTATTTTCTAAATATCTTTTCTGCATAAAATTCTATTAAGTTGTATTTCTGCTACCCTGAGGTGTGATTTACTATCTACCTGCCCATCCTTAACAGTCAACTGATTCTCAGAATTTTTTTTTCCCCAGGAGTAAGGACTTGAGATTCACCAACACTTGCATCTTCACTAATAGTCAACAGTAAGTAACCCTGAAACTTGACCCTCAGTGGCAATACAGACGGATTTGGGAGACAACACTACTTTGAAGAGGCTTCAACAGCTTGGTATCCGACTGGAGGAAATCCAGACTGCTGGAAGCCCACAACCACATCTGTAGTGCCTGAGGCTGGGCATCTCAAAGTTGAAATGCCCAATGGTTTGAAAATGTGCCACACGCAGACCAAGTGTAACCACTGTTCCCTAAAGTAAGAAACCACTGTTCCTTATCAAGGTTATGCACTGTAGTGACAATTTCAGAGGGCTGAGAAGGATCATACATACAAATGCTTTCTAGAATATTCTTACACAAAAACTAAGACAAAATACTGTGAAATTATACTGTTTCTAGATTTAAGTGCAACAAGCACTCTCCAAATATTTCCTCTAGTATGAAATATTTCCAGTTCTCTCAGTTCTACACCCACTGAAATTTGAACCTAAACTTCAAGTGAACTCTTGTGTCACTGAAACACAGTTAACTCCTCTGGATGCCATTGGAGTTTAGAGGATACCTAGACATATAAAGATGTTTTTCATTTTTTCTGTTCATTTTACTTTTCATATACAGACAGAAAGAAATCATGACAATGAGTATCTCCATGACGTTGGGGTCTAATCGAAGTGCTTGTCTCTCTCCTTTCCCTTTCCAAAAGTAAATTCTGATTAAAATCAAAAGAAAATCAACCTGTATATTCTGAAATTCTCTAGCCTACAAGTCACAGCTTCTGCCCTGCACCTGTAGACTTATCTCAATAGCTCCACAGCTGGAAGGAATTATAGGACTATCAGTCAGTTCTGGCATGCAAATACCATAGAATCACTCTTAGATAATGTGTCGTGGCATTGGGGACATACTCTTTCTTTCTGGCCGACTTTCTTTTTTCTTCATTGACTTCATGATTTGCATCTCGCAGCTTTACCTCCCGGTCTGAAAGACTTGCTGGAATAATATCTAGTTCTAGGTCCTTGTTATCCTAGAAAAAATGACAGTACAGGTTTTAAATTCATTGTAACCCTACTGTTGTGCAAAATGCAGCATGTTCATGAGATGATAAGAATGGACAAAAGTAAGATAAAGATACCAGTGTCAGAAAGAAGGAAATTCAAAGAGATTTAGAACAACTACAGTGAGAAGGCAGAAGGTGAGAAAGCGAGAGAGAAATCTTAAAAAAACGCCAACTATGAGATTTATTATAGTCTTCACTGTTACTCCTATCTAGAAATAGGTATTGACAACAAATGTCTAAATTTTACCTTGCTTCTTCGCATCTAAATTAGTTGCCTAGTATGGGACTTCATAAATAGTCTGATAAAGTAGGGCACTATGCAGAGACAATCCCAACTTCCAACGGCCTTCTGCCATGGAAATACCTTTCCAGACTGTGGTTAGTAACTTTGTGTAAACCAGAGACCCTCAAGGATACATTAAGATACATTTAAGGTATCTTAAGGGTGTAAGTGAGGGAATTTATTCCTCTTTCTTTGATACTTAATTTCGAAGGATGGTTGACTGAAATGTTTTTAAAGTGCTTCTGTTTCTGGCACTCCCCCTTAATACTGTGGCCAGGGAATAGCAGGAGGTTCTAATTTTTGTTTCTCTTGTGTTGCTCTATTTCACCTAAAACTGCTCAGAGATGAAGTTGGGGATCAATTTTTTGGTTAGTTAAAGGATGAGAGAATGGAAACTTACAGTCGAAGCCTGAGTTTGATTCAAAATAATGGTGTGGGAGCAGGATTTATGGCTCATGCTAAAATTAACAGAGACTTTTATTCAAATAATGTGTTTCCCCCTCCTCTCCAGTAGCTGTAAGGTCTCCTGGAGAATGGTGCAAATATTTGTTTAGATAGTCTTTCTGTTCGTCATCTGTCTCCTTCCCATATCACTGATCTGCCACAAAAAACCCTTTTTCTCTTCAGAAACAGTTCTGAGCTTGGCTAGGTAGGTTGGCTAGGTTTTAAGTGTTTCTAATGGACACACAATAACCTGCAGCATTCATACTACAGCCTTCACTTCCCTCTGTGACTTTCAGCTTTGGTGTAAAACCCCAGCAGGACATGGACTTACAGTACCTCTGTATTGATTCCAAGGGCTTTTTCCAGGGAGTAGCGGTATTTCCCCATCCTGAGAGAGAAGTCACGGTAGCGTTTGTCAACGGTGGTGACCCACTTCCTAATTTCAGTGGCGTGTATATGTCCTTTTTCTACAAAGCTGTCAGCCAGCTGGATGAGGAGCTTCACTTTCTCCTTTGTTTGCTGCCCAAAATATGGTCCTTGGTTATGTTGCATTATTATTATTTCCTTTGCTTTTAATTCACACAGCAGTCAGAAGCAGCTCACAATTTTTTATACATCATTAAAGAGTGCCTGTACTTCATCTTATACAGAATCAGATGCTTTAAACTTTGCCCAGTAAAACATGAAAGGAATGACATTTTTATAAGGACACTTACGAAACTGCAGGAGATAGAAAAGTCAAGTTTTTGAAACCACACAAACACATAAGGAAAACATGATGGAAGTTAGACATGCCTCCTTCCCATAACCAAAAACTTATTTTTTGTGAGCTTTGGAGTAGAAGACAGGGTTTAAAAATCACACCTCATAAAATACACCAAGTTACTCTGAATCTATATCTAGGTGATTCTGCAAACCTGTGTAGGCAGGTCATTAATACACCACATATCAGTCCAGGAGTTTGAGTCACTACTACTCTGTTTCAAAAACAAACAGAATTTAAATCCAAATTCCTGGTCTACTATAAAATCTCCTGTCAGTATTTTAGTTCCAGTTAGAGCATTACAAACTAAAAGATGCCTGAACTCCAAAACATACACTGAGACCCCAAACCTTCCAGAGGTCTTTTCTACTCCACTTGGGCTCTGACTGCCCCTTAGTCACTATGGTTTTCCATATTGAGGAACTTTGTGCAAATCTGGCGCAAAAGAGCTAGTTATAAATTTTAGCTTAGATTCCAAATCTGTCCTAGGAACTGAAGGTGCCTGGACCCTATGTTTGAGCCAACTCAAGTACAAAATGCTTATAAAAACTGAGATATCAACTGCACAGACAGCACTCCAGCTGTAACACACATGTTAAACCTCAACAGCAAAAGGAGAATCAGTGGTATACCCAGAGGTACTGGCAAGCTGCTTTTCAGAGATGGGGAGAACTTTCCACTCTGCCTGAAGCTAGACATGCTATCAGGTATTTGACGTTATCAGCAATCTGGCCACAAATGGACAAATGCATGTCAGACCAGAAAACATGTAGCAGATTTCAAACACGAAACTAAATTCAAGAAATTTCACCAGCAAAATAAATTAACAGCTGAATCAGAGGTCATCTTAACAAATTAAGTAGGTACTTCAGCAAGGCTAGGTATGGAGAAGTAAAAACCTGACTTCCTGTTGTATTTAAAGAGTGTTTCATTCCCAAAAGCTACTGATGTTTTTGCTTTCCAAACAATTGGTTTGGCCAGAAAGTTATTGGGATCAGGAAGGCTTTCAGTCTGGGAGTGACATGCATTTACCAGATTGCACGTGGCAGTGAAAATATTCTAGGTCAGCAGTAGGAAAGTGATTTACTAGAGCCCTAGGGAGCAAGACTAGATGCGTCAGTGTAAGGAACAGCCAGTAATGGTCAATAAGGAACAAGGTATAAAACTCAATCCTAGGCTAAGTCAAGAGTAGAAATAGTTTGGAAACTTCAGGTTGAATCGGGATTATTCTGATCAAAATTAAATTATTAACTGGAACATGATTTCAGACAGACTGCTTATGGGTGGTTGGAGGCCAGGAGTACCGTTAAAGGAATGTTGTACAGGTCCTGTCTGATTAAATTAACTTCCATCCACTGCTAGTTAACTCCCACTTTCACAAACATGCAAGCTAAGGAAAAAGGAAGGGGACAAGAACACCACAAAGCCTGTGATTCAAACCCATGCAAGTATGGATAGCCTAATGAGGAATTTAAGGATTACAGAAGATCAATTTCAGGACAGAGTGAAATGATGCTACATAATACCAAAGCCATTGCTGCAGTCCAACTTTGCAATTTAGATCCTTATCAGTGACTGTTAATACCCCTGTGGATTCACTGTCTGTGAATTATCTACGGTTTGAATTAATTTGTCTGAAGCAGATCCAATCACCATTCTTCTGTAAACCCCACCAGATTTCTCAGAATTGCTCCATATAAATTAATAGATTCTTGGTAATGTAGCTTTGTATTAAAAAATGTTCACCCCAGAGTTTACAAACCCATTTATTTAAAGTATTTTGTTGGGATCAGCAGATTATTTCTAATGAGATAAATGATCATCTGTGATCAACCCAGCTGGAATTAGTGAAACCAATTGTAGTTGTAATGACAGAAGAAAGAGACAGGGAATCGAAGATGACCTTGGATACGTTCAGATCAATTAGTTACTCTATACCATTCTTGTATGATTGTTTGAGGATGGAATTAGGGTATGTCTCATTAGGTTGCTGTGAACTCTGTATGCAAATGGATTTTCTCTTCCTTCTGATCAGAACAAAAATGCTTCATAACCAGTACAGACCAAGGGGAAGAAAACCTTGGTTTTGTGCCTACGTCTTGCTAAAAATGAAAGATCACAGTTCTCAAAAGACATTTATCTTCTGGGCAAGGAATGTCAGGAGGAAAATACAAAATCAAGAGAATATTATTACAGAGATTTAAGGCATTGAAACAGGATCATAAATATAGATCAAGGCAGATGCCATAATTAGATTAAAGTCACTGTTTACCTTGGCAGGTACTCTGAATTCCCCATATTCCTTCAGGAGTTCCTGAGTTTCTTCTGCTGATTCCCCTGTGGAGTTGTGAGTAGAGAGGTAATATTCGCCTGTTTCTTGGATCCAGTCTAAGGCCTGTGAATGTCAAAAACAACCAAAGGAAAAACAAAACAAACAGTCTTTGTATTTCAAGAACTAATCCTCTGACAAAAAAATCTGCCAAATAAAGGATATAAAATCCATTGGGACTTAATACGGTGTATACTAAAACACTTTCTAGGAACACATTAAAAAGAATACAGTAATCAAAACGGGTGGGAGAGGATACAAAAAGGTGCTGTATGTTTCCTAGGAGAAAAAAGAATGTAGGGAATTCTACCTATATACACATAAATCTGCACACAGGGAAAGCAGATTCTCATTCAGTAATAGCTCAATAAAACAAGTTTGCTTTTATATTTATTTTCAGACAAATGAACAATCCAGAAATTAATCTGACCTGGCAAAAATACTGAGTTTTGTCATTAGGTTTTGGAATTTTCTTAAATTGTTTTTAAAATCTACATTTGCCATTTTTCAAATGTTACAGTTTTTAAATACAACTTGAGATTGCAACAGAAACCCCACATAGGGGCATTACATGGATACAAGAAATATTTACACACTGCCAGGACAGAAAGACAAAGTGGGGTTTTTACCTGCTTGGCACTGCGCTCAAAGACAACATATTGTTGGCACTGATCTAATCTCCGCTTCTTCAGGGTCCAGAAGTGAAGGACCCTGTTCTCCCTCTGCAGCAGCTCACTCAGAATGGCTGTAGGGCAAAGGAAAACGTCTGCGTGATTAGTGATTCTGTGAGTGCATACAGAAATAAGCCATAAAAAGCTGAATTTACTCACTCTGCCTGGACCGCACTCCCAAGAGCAGAGCCCCTGAGATTGTACTTCTTAAAAAGAAGCATTGATTCAAGGGGGCTGCTTTAAAAACCAACCAACCAAACAAAAAAATAACCAACAAAAAAAGTGCAGTTGCAGGGTTGTCTGGTAAAGGAGAAGATGCTAGAACAGAGTTTGGGATTTACCCCAGTAAATACACTGGGGTACACGATTTCTAGTCCTTTCGTTCTCTTCTGTTGCTTATTTCAGGAGTCTAGTACTGGTTGACATAGGAGAAGTTGCCCTTTTACTGCCTCGTCTGTTGCTCTGCCCACAGGCTACCCCACACTTGGCACCAAAGCCTACTGTCCCATGCAGAGGTCTGATCACGACTGAATTTAATAGGCACCTGAGCCCCCAGTTTGACATACTTGGTAAGGTTTCTTATACAGCTGTACTGCCTGGCAACCCTCGGTGTGCTGCTCCTTGTGCAGTTACTGCTGAGCTACGATTCTGGGTTGAGGCCTGGTATTGGTCCTCTAAACTGTTCTCTGTGTGACGGGGATGTGACAGACACCCAGACTCAGGAAGAGACTGGCAGGAGACCTGCTACTCCTTGGCTTCTAGGACATACGTGTTCTCCTTCAAAATCCGAGTGCTCAGCCAGGCTGTATTAACTTGATAAAAGGGTGTGATTTAACTCTTTAAAAAGTACCATGGGTTTAAATGAAAAGATTACACACAGAGAGAGTGCAAGAGATTTACACTACATAACTGACATAAACCTTAGTTAAACCTGAGCTTTTCTAATTAAACTGAGCTAAGTCATGTGTAGCTGGCAGCAGCGTGGCTCATCCCAGCCCTGTCTGGGTACGGAGCCCAGGTAAGGTAAGGCACGGCAGCCCTCCTGCCCTTATCCTCAGAGCGGAGCATCCACTAGAGGGGGCTTCGGCACACGCAGCCGGGGCAGCAGCCACGCTCTCTTATCTTAAAACATTGAGTCTGGCTTCTCAACCACTTACAGTGACTTACGATGATTTACAGCACCTGTTAATAACCTCTCTCACCCTAAACCCTTTCTGAATGTACTGATATTCATTGCTTATGTATCGACACTGGTGGCAGCAAACAGATTTGGATGTATCCCTCCCCATTTACAAGTGTGACACTGGTTATGGTCAAAAAATTTGTAATACTTAAGTTAATTGCAAAACCTAGCCCAGTCCCTGCTGAGGAAACTTTGTCTGAATGACAAAATGAACTCGAAGCTTGTCATGGGTGCTCTAGAGCAGGTCTCTGCATAAACAGTTTATGCCAAATAAAACTAATTTTGTTCTGTATTAATGACTTTGCTTTGGAAGCACAATAAGTATCCTACTAAATGGTGCTTTTATTCTGAACTAAAGTGTCCACTTCAAAGATTTTCTGTGGGTAGACTCGCCAAGCATAAGAATTACACATTTGGCTTAGAAAAAGACTAATATACAAGCTGATTTTTATGTAAGTGAGTAATTTCAAACAAGCTCAGTGAGGAACACTCACAAGCTTATATCAGGTGCATATTTAAGGGCTTGCTGAGTCAGGATTTAATTAATTTTCCCATGATTTTCAACTGTAAGGAACAAAAGTCCACAACAACAACAAGCATTTGACACAGTAGTGGGGGAAACTTGAACAAAGTCATGTTAACATTGAAGAACTCGTATTGAAAGAAAGAAAGAAAGGAAAATAATCTCTTCAGTAGGATCATTTTCATCTTCTGTGTATAACCAGAGTTCCCATCCCTCTCACATATATAATGACTGCACTGCTTTTAACCTGTATGTTTCTGCAGCTTGTAAGAAAGCCAATAATAATAACAAAAAATGGTTTATTTCTGCAGAATCACTTTGCTCATTCTTATCAGTACCTTACAGCATTGCTAGGCACAGATTAACAATTGTTTAATTAAACAGAGGAATGGAAACATTTAAAACATCTCAGAGGTATCATCTGATTGTAAACAGTGCTCTTCTGACCAAAAGAAAGTAGCTATAGGCAGATACTGTTGCTGGTGATTGACTGATGTGGTAGGACATCAAACAGGATTCCAGGGATGAAAAAATAGCAGATCCATCCTAGGGACAAACAAGTTTGGGGTTCATTTTTTTCCAGTGCTCAGCAGCAACAGGATGCATCTAGACCTTGTATTTGATATGGGCTTATTTTTTTATGCATTTTTAGATATTAAGGCAAAATAGTGTCTGAGTATCTCAGCTGACAACCTACCTGATGGGGGATGGCACAGTGCCACTCCCATGGACTCTCCTGACAAGAGAAGCCAGACAGAGCCCATGTTTCAAACCTCTCTCCTTTTTTCTCTCACCACCACTTGCAACAGCAGAGTTCTGTATAAGAACTCATGCCTAGCAGAGGAGGGATCACTTTCTGAGAAGCCTCACTACCATTGCTAAAGGTGTCAGGCATATGTACCATGTTAGCGACAGGAGATGGCAAAACTTAAGGTGCCTTCTCAGCATGTTCATAAACTTTACGACGACCACACAGTAGAGGGGGAAGCAAACAAAACCTTCAGTGCTGTCACTGCACCAGTGCACCAACCTTTCACTTGCTGCTCTGGCCCCCTTGTATGGCTTGCTACTCCAGGCATGCTGACATTGTTGCGGTGGATGTACTTGAGGAATACCTCAGCATTCCTTCGTGCCAGCGTACAGGCCTAAGAAAAACAGCCCCCACCAAAAAGAATCAGTAAAGATGAGCAAAGAAAGCAAAGGGGACCCAAGGGAGTTCTCTGCTTATTTTGCAGGGAGAAGTTCTCTTTCATACGAGAACATGAGAGCTTCAAGCTAAGGGTCAATAAACTCAGCTAATAAACTAACAGCCTCATAAAAGTATTAAAACACGAGTAATTTTGAATATAGTGGCTAATTTTATATATTAAGGCAAATTAATGACAACAATAGAACAACTGGTTGTAAAGAGATAGTACATCACACATTTTCAATCCAACCAAAGCTAACCCATCTCTCAAGAAAAGTACTCATTGTTTCAAAAAATGTACAATTTTGAGGCATAATTTCTTAAGCCTTGCCTGCAAGCATAGTTTCATGTTGTATATCAGTTGTAGTGGAAGGTGGGAGGCTGGCTGTCAATTGACTTGTCAGCCTGTCAGCTCCACAGTTCTTACAAAGCAGCACCTGGAAGGCAGAAGTCTCCATCCTGGTGCTGCCCTGCAGAAACACAATTGCTTTAGTTATTAGTGGTTCTTCAGTTATTGGCTTGGAGGACAGAATTTGAAATGCTGGATGGTTTGTATAAGCCAACACCAAAATGCCATACAATACCTGTCATTTATAATGCTCACCATATGCAATTTTGAGAATTTGAACTTTGAACTAGCACAACAACAAACATCCTCCAAGTGCAATGCAAATACCACCTAATTAGTCCTGATGACATCTCTCTGAGATATGCATTGATGATAACACTTATTACCCCTACCATAACAGTGTGAAAGTAGCCTAGGGCTTATACAGCCAGTCAGTAGCTGAACGGGAATTACACCCCAGAGCCTCCTCTCAAACTCACCAACACTGCTCTAAATTGACTACTTAATGTGGAGTTTTCCTGATTTATTAGAGAACTAAAATGAGACCTTGAGAAAAGCCTCCTTCTGTTCCAGATGTTTGCTGATCAGAGGGATGACGTGGTCTATCTCAGCTGCCGGTCCAAGTTTATCTCGACCTCCACACCAGTCTTCATCCCGTCTGTATTCTTGCTCCAAGCTCTCTAATACGCTGCACACCTGAAACATACCCATAGCACAACAATTCAGTTATCTACAGTCATAATCAGGAGGAACATATTCAGTAAAAGTCTATGTCCAGTAACATTTCAAATCTAAATGTTTTGGACTACAGGCCGTGGTATGGAGGATAAGGGGGTACGAAACAGGCCCTGGACAGAATGATCTAGCAGTTCTTCTTACCCATAGGGATCTCTACTGTTTGGGATGCAATTCATCTGGTTTAAGGGTGATAAATCTTTCTTCTCTTCCAATGGATAATCGGAAGGAAGCTCAAAATGTTGAATCAAGGCAGGGGTCAGTGTTGGTCCCAGTGGACCATTCAGGAAACAATCCCTATTCCGGAAGGGTGCTTTAGATGTGTTTAAATCCCACTGAAGTCAAGGGACTTAGCACATACTTAAAGAAAAACACATGCTTAAATACTTTCCTGAAACAAAGTCTGAAGCTGGAACTAATTCTCTTCAGCTGCATGTTAGTTGCTCCCTATACAGCTTTTGCAAAGACTGATGGAAACCCATAGACATTAAATCAATGTCGCAACCCAGGTGGATGCAGGTGTTCCACGGTACAGGGCTTACACAAGTATCTTCTATTTTGGTAGAATAATGGGAATGAGGTAAATAAACCAACACAGTCTGGAAACTGTGCTTTGGACAAGGATTCCTTGGACAAGGAGTCTTTTGCATTGCAGATCCTGAGAATGAGTCTTAGTGGCCTGTGCAGACACTGAAAAAACTGCAAAAGTTTTCAGGACCATTTGAAACTTTCCTCTTCTTTCCCAGAGGGCTCTTCCAACACAGTCCATGACTGAGATTACTCAAGACCCAGTCAGTTATTGCTGGGGGTCCAGCTAACCCTCTTCTCGCTCACTCCTGCAACTTTTATATGAACACATAATTCAGAGGATCCTACATGCTCAAGAGCATAGTCTGGAAGAGACTCCAGCATCACCCACCAATCCTCCCCACTATCGCAGGCCATTTTCATATAACTCCATTCATGAACGCATCACTCAGTTTTAAAACTGGTGAATTGAGGTGAACTGATCAATTTATTCTGCTGCCAAGCTGTTCAAGGACCTTATGCATTTGACAATCTGAAATCATCTTCTTGCTTGGATGCAAACCAGCATTCACCCTCAAACATTTATCGGAGAGCAAGTGCCCCATGTGTTATTCAGGCACAGAAAAGCATTTCCATTTTACTTTTTCGTTCTTGAAAACTTTGGTGCTCTGTTGGATTTTGGTGACATAAAAAATGAAAGTAGATGGACTGCCTGGGGTCCACATCTTTTCAGAAAGGATTGTCCCTATACATGCAAATATCATCTCTCTGTTAAGACGATGAGAGAAATCAATATAAAGTGGGCTGTCAAAGAAGTTAGAGAGAAACTGGGCTATTTGAAAGCCAGGGCTCCACCAGTTATATCAAGAACATAGTATGCTTGGGGAAGACAGGCATGAAAAAGTTTGGCTGGTTGTGACAGTCTCTCCACCCTTTTAGCTGCTTTTTCTAGATACTTGGAGAATTCAGGATCCAGTAAATTACTCAATCCACTGCCATCCAGTCAGGAAGCAGACCATTAAGGACCATAGATCAGTTGTGCAGCACAAGAGAAGACGACAGACTACATGCAGCAGTGAGTTTATGAGCATTCAAAGACTGAATGATCTTTGCCCTAAACATTTGCTGAATAGACACAACTAATAAATGAACTGGTGGGCACTGCAGTATGCTGGTCTATGACTTGGAAACAGGAAGAGAGACTGAATTGATAAATTACTGGCTATGCATATTTTGGCCAGCACATTTGACTGTCTAAAGCACTAATCAATCCCTTAATGGTTTTCATTTCTCACAATCCTCCACCAGCAGTAATTCATTTCAATCTTGAATGCATCGGGGACTGTAAATCTGTTTGAAACTCTTCACAGTGAAAGACATTCATTATAAGGAATGAATTAATCTTAAACAATCTTAAAAATGCATTAAAAAATGACACCAAAAAGTGGCCCAAGGATCATCTACAGCCTCGATGTTAAGGAAAAAATAATCTCTTTCCATAATGATATATTTGGTTGTGCTAAAAAACTTCCCATGTCTGGTTCCCTAATTGAGGAAATAACTGTGTGATAATAACAATAGAAAATTTAATGGAAATCACTGCTGCCTTTTGTATAAAACCACAGGTTCCTGCAATGTCCGTGCTAACACGAATTGCCTGGCTGCACTAAATTACATCAGGCAAGGCTATTCGAGTACCCACACTGTGACACTAATTCTCACTGACTACAGTATAAATGGCACCTATTTGTGCAAGGGATGACTAATCCCATCGTACCAGCAGCCAACTGGAATGTGTTTTGCAATTCATGGACACCTGGAATGAAGTAAAGTTGTGTCAACATATAATGGTTACTGCTGTAATTATCTGTGCTGCAGATGGATTTAAGAGAAATCCCTTCACATCTTGGCATCTTTTTCGGCATGGTGGTGTTTAACTACTAGTGAAAACACGGGCTAGTACTGCCCACAAAGTAACAAGTAATTAATTGTAAGCAGCTCTCAAGGAAAAGCAGATTTATCTTCCTCAAAATTAACTCTGATATCATGAGAACTTGAAACTAAAATGGCGGGATTTCAGAAATTCTTCCTGTTGGAAAGGGGACAATTAAAAAAAAAACTTCAAGAATTACATTGCTTCACTGAAAACTTTAAGATGAATGTTATTGCAAACTGCTGCTTTTTTTGTTTGTTTGGTTTTGGGTTTTTTTTTGTTACAATACTTGTCAGAAAAACTATTTTGACTAGTTCAAACTTTGGCTTCCATGTATGGCTTGCATTAATATGCCAATGGAGCAAATGTCCTTTCAGTTCGTTTTGCCAATGCTGTGAGATCCCTTGCTGGCAGAAACCCTCTGCACTCAGGGTCAGAGTAGAAAACCCACACCCACCAGCGCTGCTACGTTGTGGCATGGCACCCACACTGGGAGTCACCTGAGGGCTCAACACTGGCCCTATTCAGGTGACACAAAGGTTTATATGCACCTAATGTGTGGATGAAGACATGCAAACATATGTAAAAAGAAAAACGGCAGCTTTTAAGGGCAAGCAGGGCTGACTGAAGCCACATTCTTCCTACTTTTGGGATTACTCAAGGAAAAGGGAGAAGAACGAGCATTGCTCCTCAGTGGTATTAGCAGAGCAGGTATTTGGAACAGTTCAACACTCTGGAAGAGTGGAGAGACTGCACTGCTGATCTTGGTGAGAAGCAAGACCTTCGTACTCTATACTGGGAGCTAAATCCCAGGCTGTAGCAATATGCTATGATACAGATGTGATACTGTTCAGCTCACCTGCTCAGAGGTTTTATAGAAGGCCACCGAGGCATTGACAAGTTTGAGCCTGTCCTCCATCTTCAGCATCAGCTGCTGCCAGTGCAGGGCCACCTTTTCGGCACACTCTCTGATAGCATCGGCATCATAATGCCCAGCCTGTAGCAACACTTCGGCTTTCTGCTGGACCTGCAGGGCACTCTGGTGTGTCTTCTGTAAGGAAGTGGCATGAAAGAGGGACTGTGTATGAGGGGAGGAAAGAGAGGTTGTATAGATGTGCCAGACGTATGGTAGAAAGGTGAAGCGAGGTGTGAGCATGGAGATGCGAGAGAGTGAAACATTTTCAGAGTTATCTTCAGTTAAGTTACTTTCTGCAAAGCATTTTAGTTTCAATTATTCACGCACATTTGCAACATGTTTTTAAAGCTTGGGACAAGCAAGCACTGGCTAAGATGGGTTAGCTCCACTGATCAGCTACTGCCTGTCAGGCAACAACCCAGGGTGGGGTTCCAAGTGGATCCATTTGACAACCCCAATGCAGGCAGCTGTTGTGCTGAGCTCCCACCCAGCCTGTACTCAGCCCACACAATCTGCAGATACAAAAGCAAACACCAAAGAGTTGGCAAACTATGGGCCCAATCACCCTAATTTAACTCTTGCCAGGCAGTTTGCTGGCATCAGCAGCTTTATTCATGTGTGTAATTGTCCTGTCCGCAGGATACAGAACATCAGCCCCAGAAGAAATGAAGATGCCTTACTAAATGGCATGAACTATATCACAAATACCAGCTCCTACAAGGTACATTTCTGAAAGTTAGTTCACTCATAGTGGAGCTACGCTATGCTACCTTTAAGGGCAGAGCTGGGGGGAGTGAAGCCGTTTTCTCCACTGTTCCCCAATTTACTCAGTAGCCACTTTATAGGCAGGGCTGAATTATCTGCCCCATTCCCCAGCCTACACCAGATCCTCTCAGAGTAACCAAGTGGTGGTTACTCCTTCCTCTGTGGGTTGCTGAGAGGAAATTGCCCCCGGCCCTTCACAGCCTCCTGAGTAACTGTGTTCAGGCGCAGTTTAGTCCAATATTTGATTTTAATCTTCTGAACAGAAGCCCTAAAATCTCCCAAAGACTCCTCTGTTCTGCATCCCATTTGCAACTGCTGCTGACAAATTCTCATGTGATACTTTTATGATCTAATCCTTGAACCTGGAAAGAAGCTTGAAATCATCTGGTAATACACTGATGAATAATGCAATGTAGAAAAAGCTATTAGCAAAAAAAAGGATTAATACTTGGCAGAAACGTTTAGGAAGATGTTCAAGAACAACTGGTTAAATTTAATATCCAGCTGCTTTACTGATGTTAGAGTTGTAATACTTGTTTTAAATAGACTTTAAAGGATTTCAACTGAAAATCAATTCCACATCTACAATGCCTTTAGAGAACAGTCTGCCCTGTGTGCTTTGCTGATCTCTTCCCCATATTGAGCTTTAAACACTTTAAATATTTAATCTAGTGTTTTCTCCCTTTGAAAACTTATTTTCCCCTTACTGTGGCGTAACCCTCTTCTCCCTCCGTGATTTGCATTTACCACCAAATACAAGCACTTCCCCAATGGCAGCAAGCTGCGATAACACAGCCAGTGGGTGTCTTGTTCTCCACTGCTGTCTGGTGACGGCTGCCAAGATGTGGTCAGCACAGCTTGGTACCAGCCAGCTCATACAGAATTGATAGAAAACTTCTTCATTTTCCCTTAGGAGCCACAACAGCTGCTCCTTCCTTAGTGTGAGTGGAGGTGGATCAAAATAGGTCATTAGCTGAGATTTAAACTCTATACTTACTAGCCACACTATAACGTATATCGACTTATTTAAAGTTTACCAGAAGACATAAAGACACTTTCCCCCCCCTAAATCAGGCATCTCTTCAAACCTCCATTATGGAAATATTATTTTCATAGTTTAAAGTTTGGTTTAGTTTTGGTTATTTTCAAATATATATAAACCACAGAAAGAGATTTTCCAACTTGTTCTTTGCTCTGTAAAAAGGTAACAATAAACATAATCTGGGAAGCATATACACCTTGTTAAGCAGGAACAGGAGAAAGCAATGTCCCCTCTTTCTTGCAACTGGAGTGAGCACACTCTGTGAGTGTAGGGTTTGTTCACAATGACAAAGATATATAAAGTACTGAGCCTAACTATGAGTCTTTTATTGCCCTACTCAGCGGAGTCCATAGCCCTCCACTACTTTCTCATCCAAAGGAAAGCAGCTCAGAGGAGGTGCTATTCCTCCTGCCATGTCCTGGCCCCATGAGTGAGGGAAATGAGTTGGCTCACAATTAGTTTTCAAGGACCAGTCAAAGATGTGCTACTCCAGGGCAAGCAGGGGCAAAAGCTCAGTTTTGCAGGCAATTCTTAAAAATCTCCCCTCTTGCCTCTTCTTCAAAGTAAAGTTATTTGAGAATGTGGGTTTGAATGAATGTCTCTTCTGCAGTCAACAAAAGGAGAGTTGAATGAAACAAAGATTTCATGTGAGAACATTATCCAGTAACAAAGGTATTCATAAATGAATGCTGTGAAATGATCTGCAAATCGTGGACGTGGGAAGAAACTGACTTCACAAACTTTTCCCATTTTCAGATCACTTTGTGAATTTTAATCTTCTTATTTTTTTACCAAAGAAATTATCAGGAGATACATGAGTGTCATTTTCATGAATGGAAAGGCTCATATCTGACAGCTGAAGAATTAGCTGCAGATGATAAATAATTTTTTTCACTATTAACCTCTTGCTGCATTACAAGTTTAATGATAAGTTGATTTTCTAAAGTCTTATTCTTTCCCTTCCTTCAAGCAAGCAATGATTGATGCCCAAGAGATGGGCACCTTTTGTATGATGTTCACCTGGGAAGGAGAAACAAAGTTAACTTATTCGTGTTACCTCTATGGCCAGCTGAAACTGCTCATGCTCTCGCTGGAGCTGCTCAGCTTCAGAGAGGGAGCTTGCATTGACAAGGCTTGCATTCAGCATTGATTCACCATTCCGGATCCAGCCAAGCACCTGTAAAGAAAGGACGTGCTTATGGAAAGGTTGCTTCAGTACCAAGGTTTATGTAGTCACTGATCAGAAAATGCTTCAGCCTGGCTAACAAAAAGGTACTTTGCCCAGTGTGGTCTCAGGCTGAATCAGTGAGCAGAAAGAAATCCTAGGATAAGGACTTAATGACATAAATTTTTAGAAGGCAAAGATCTTATTGAAGAAGTTATTGCTTGAAGAATTAAACTCCCGAAGTATTTACATGGAAATTCGGATAGCAAAGAGCTTTCATTTCCCTGGTTTGATCACAAAAATGAATGTTCCCCTATGCAAATACCCCAGGGCAAAACAACAAAGCATAATGAGAAATATTTGAAATTAAACATAAAGATCTCTCTCTTTTTCAAATTTCCAACTGAAATCATGGACCTTGCAACTCCTTTCTGCTCCACTTGCCTGTGTTTCTTTCACACAAAAGTCAGAGCTTAGGGGTGAGGAGGGAGAAGACACAGTTGGTTTCATCTGACACAGAGTTAAGATGCAGTTGGAGTTTCCACCTGCATGCAAAGCTAGGAAGAAATCCCAGGTCTCACATTTTATATTTAGTCAAGAGGCTTTACTTCAGGGATATTCAGATTATTTGTAGACATGCAACCCATGCTGTAATGACTGCAGAATCAAATCCTAAATATACATAATTAATCTATCAAGCTTATATTTATTCATTTAAGCAGCAACATTTTCTGCTATTTTAAGACACGTGTTTGGAAAATTAGCACCAAAAGACAAGTACAATTTCTTTGCTGTGTTGTCTCAAAGCCTATTTTCTACCTGTGTGGGTGTAAAATTATTCCAATAAAGCCAGAAAGTTGCTGAATTCAATTCACAGATGCATAGGAAATCCTGACTGCCCAGTCACTGCCCTAAATCTAGCTTGTGATTTACAAAGCTCCAAAATTGACTTTGCTGCAATATTCTACGTAGTAATTTCCCTTTTGTGCCATCATTTTCACCAAGCGATCCATTAAATTGTCTGAAAGAAATAGGGATTTTCTGTTGTTTTGGGTTTTATACCCACATCATGCATCACCCTAGTTATAGCCATTCAGTTCCCCATAGGGTAGGAAAATGAGTTTTCCCTAGGAGAAAGAAAGGGGAGCCATCTACACATGTAGCTGACCCTAATTTGTAGAAAATTACATTCTGCTCAGTACAACAGTGTGGAAGATTTCATTTGCCAGCTTTCTCTCCTTCATCAGCAGGTGTTATTGTTCCTGTGGGAAATGCAACAAAGATTTAAAGGAAAAGAAATCGGGTTATCATATGGCAATCTTTTTGGCTGGCATTCTCTATAGTCCATCCGTCAAGAAAGCTACATTATTGCCTACTACATGGTACCAAAAGCTGAAGTTAACAAAGGATCACTGTATCTGGGAAAGACTTGAAGTGAGGACATCATAAAGCAAGACATACTTTCACATTTTATATACCGTGATATATCCTGGCTTGGGCCATTTAGAGTGTAGAAAATACTGAGTATGTATGCTAAAAATGCAGCAGCTTTTTTTTTTTTTTTTTTTTTTTAAACAATACAATCAGGGCATGACAGGGTCCTCTTGGGAACAGCTTTCATTTGAACTGAAATTTTCAAAACCTGCCACAGAAGTTTCGATGCAGATTTCATGCAAATATCTGAGTCTCTAAATACTAATAAAAGCACTGGAAACCTCAGTCTTAAAACAAAGCAACTCGATTAGTGAAAAGCTAATAGGCAACAAGGTTGAGTAAGGAAGAAGAGAGACCATACAACTGAAAGCAGCCAGGTTTCCTCTAGTGTTAATGACACATGTGCATTCCTCTGTACAACTGTCTTGTTGCCTCACAAGTATTCAGGGTAAAGCAGTTCAGGTCAGGCCCTGATGTACTACATCTTGTCAGCAATGCTTACAGCACTCTTCTTGACCAAGGCTGCTGCCACCCCTGAGTTGTGTCCCTCCCGCCTTCCCCCAGAGTGTGGGTTCAGACACTCACTGTGGGGCTCCTGCACTCCCCCTTCCAGGCCCAGTGAGCACCCAAGCACTAGCAAATTTTGCTTGAAAGAACTTAAATAATGACCCCATTCTACTTCCAAAAGTCTAACACTTAAATGTCAGGGCCTCATTTGGGATTGAATCAGCTTTTTCCATAGTAATGTTTTCCTCTTAGGTTTTTTTCCTCTTCTTCTTTTGTATGTGTGTTGTTTACATACATTAAGAAAAAATTTCAGTTGCATACCTAAAGCTTCTTAAGTCTAAGTGCAAAACCCAGTCACCTGCAGAGCCTTTCATTGTGTCACTGGTTTGGAAGTAGACTGTGAAATGCTTGGAAGAGAGCATGCACACATTTGTATCTAGTTTACAAGACCTGCTCACAAATTGACTCCTACTTATATGGTGCCTAATACCTTTTCACTAAAATATGTATAGAAGCTGCTAATACAGCACCAAGACACTTCTCCGATCATTTCCTGTATTAATAGATTCACCATTATCTGCCAATGTGCAGACAGGCCAACAGCAAAAGATGGCTTTAAACAGACATTTCCTACAAACTACAGATTTTATCAACATTGTAGGAGCAGTGATTAAATAATTCTGGAGTTAAATGAATCTCCAAAGACTCTCTTAAAAAGCCTAACAATTTTTTTTATAATGGAGAAGCAGAAACACATTGACAGAGTCTTAGATAAAAGCCACTTGCCACTGGAGAACAATTTCACTGCAAGGCATGGGTTGTCTAACACGGCAACCACCACAGTTCTGAAACAACTCCCACCTTTGACTCCAATTTGCTTAAAACAGGCTACTTCTGCATATGGCTCCCTGAAATTAAATAATAGTACCAAGTTCTTCTCAAATTCATACCCTGAAACTCTGCCATCTTCACTGAGCACAGAATCAGACCTTACAGGAAAAATAAGAAGTGGGGCACCTCTTGTGCAGCCTTCCTTAAAAAACGAGAGGTCTGTGTCACATAGTGTTTCTGTCTGGTGGTTTACTTCAGTCAGAATGCCTTCCTTGGTGTTTCTAAAAAAGACTTAAGGCCTTACTAATGATACCCATCAAGTTACTTTGGAAAAGATTTTTAAGTTTAAAAGGCATCTTTTACATCTCTGGAGCCTTTGCAGCTTCTTTGAGAGACTCCTACTACCACAGACACAACCACTGGCAAGGACACCTTCTGTTAATTTTAGCCATGTTCAAAACTGCATCAGGTTTCCAGGAGCTCTGTGACATTAGACTGGGAAAAAAACAAATATATTCAGTGTCTCTCAAACGACTACTTCCCATCATCCTTTGGGCATATTCATCTGGAAGCAAATCTAATGACAAACAGCAAAAGTGGATGGATAACAGGCACATGAAAAGGAATAAACACACTTCAAAACAACCTGGAAAGTAAGTGTAGTGGGACACTGTGAGGATATCTGGGAGTAAGTTAGGTCAAGTTCAACATTTACCAAAAAAAGAAATAAAACATATAAAGATAAATTAAGGGGATAGGGAAACCAAACAGCTGCAAGCACAGGTTTAGAGCGTTTGTCTTTTAAACGGATCTCCACAACTCTATTCTGCTATTACTTTTATGTAAGCAATCCAAGCTCTGTAGTTTCTGTCGGAAATGAGTGGGATCCAAATGAGGGGAAATCAGTGTTGGAAAGGATCTTTCTTAATAACAAAGAGTTTGTGAATCACTGATCTATAGTATTTCCACTCTAGAGCAGTTCACAGAATATCTCATTTGGAATTGTTCCGCTTTAATGGCCCCAAACTTCGATTCATTGTCTTGGCATTCGAACCCTTGGTGCATATGATATAAAGCAGAAATCCCTGGTAAATGAGACTTAAATAGATAGAGACAGTTAAAAGACTTTGTATTTCCATGAGCCATTATATCAAAATGCAAACACATGTACGTGTAGCAGCCTTAACCAATTTTACTATGTCAGCAGAACTTAACCACAGCTACAGTAGGTGTCTTGCAGCAACCACATCTCAACTGATTCACAAGAGTGAGAGCAATTTGGTAATGAGATCATCCATCGTCTCAAATGTACTAAAATGAAAGTGAAGGAAATCTGGACCAGACTGGAGATGAACTACAAGCCAAAATCAATATATTTCCCAATTTCACTAAATGGTTAGGAATATGACTCATCTACAGGAAACCAAACAGATAGGGCACAGATATATTTTAACTTACCTCTTTCTAAGGGAAACTGTAGCTGTGGTGATTTATAGGTTAATAAGCAAAGGAGTCCTTAGTATTCAGCTGAACAAATAAAATGATTCTTCACTATTGGTTTGCTGAGAGGTCACACAATAATGAAGGCTCTGATGGTCCCAAGCTCCGTTAAGGAAATACTAATTCAAGGCAGCTGTTCTCCTCTCACAGTAAGTATTAGATAGTTCAGCCCTAAAACGATTTCCTTTGGTTAGATTTTGGTTTGTAAAATAGCTAAGGCCCAGCAGATACTTGATAATGAGGCAAGCAGCATCAGGTACCTGCAGAGAGTGCTGCACTGCCACTGTACTGCTCCAGGAGCAGCCACAGAGCTGACCGACTGGCACTTCATCCTGGCCAAGCGGGCTGGTGACACTTGGTCAGATAGCAATAACCTGCATTTTTAGCATTTCTGCTACACGTATTACTCCTCTCTAGTTTCTATCATAAGTTAAAATGGCTCTACTTCATCATAAATCTATCACACAAAACTCCAAGCTTAGCTAAGTTGTGTGTGAGAAACTTTGGGAACCTATGGAAAAAAGGATACACTTCATAATCATATTAAGGTGGTGATTATGAATATCATAGAGCCTCTTTTTTTTTTCCCAGAAGAAAGCCAAAGCACTCTATAGAGCTCTGGAGCTTCACGAGGAGTTGGCCTTCAATTATCACAAATGCAAAATGACTACATTTTCAAAATAAACATTTAGGAGAGTTCTGTGCTACTTTCGTTTAGGGTTGCAAAATATTCACATCAAAGTGGACTTTGAAAGAAAATGTATGCACTGGTGTTGGCGCTGCGAGCTTCTAGCTTGAGAGTTGTCTGAGAATGAAGGATCTTTTGTCAGCAATGATAAAACAATTCAGATAAAGTGTCACTCAAATATTCACTTTTGAAGAAAGAATAAATATGACCATGTGCACTGAGCACTCAGTATATTCTTTTTTTTTTTTTTTTTTTTTTTTAAGTAAACAAAGGAGCAAATCTTTTTCACGAACACCTTGTAGTATTTGGAAAAAAAAGAAAAACAAATGCTTCCCCCTCTCCCCTCATTTGTACTGGTAAAATGGAAACCTGAATATTCCAGGTGTCTGGAAAAATGTTCCTGGTTTTCATAATGAAACCAAGACCATTCCATTGAAATGCAGACATACACTGACGTGTGACGCCACCTATGGATTAGGAAGCAGGAAGTGTAGCATTATCCTGTGTAGCAAAGGAAAACAAAGAAACATGAGGCATCCAAATTAAATATCAGGGGAAACCTAGGGAGGCAGAACACAACTGCAGGTCAACAGATGTATAGCAATAAATGAAAAGGTGAAACTACTGTAATGTTATACTTAGACCTCACAGCTCAGTTATCCTTTGTGTTGGGCCAATTCTCCACAACAGCTTAAGTCTGGATCCCAAATCAAATCATTATATTCCCAGAAACATGGAGTTTGAGGCAGCTTCTCCAGTTAAGAAGTTACAAGGTCAGTTCTGCACAGATTTCCCATAACTATTCATGAAGCCAAATATACGCACACTAGAGGGAACGGAGCCCTTTGTTATTTGTAAAGGGTCATGCTGCAATCTGTCAGCAAATCAAGTACTGTTAAGGAAAGGGGGGTTGAAATTGTCCACCTAAAGGTATGTGACTTGGCAGAAGCTGGTTTAGCAGTTTGCATGTATGTAATGCCTGAAAACCCATTTAAGACCCTTAAGTGTGGTTAAAAACTCTCACCTGCTTGACTTCAGCCTGTAGGTGCCGGAGCTGTAGGCACTGCTCTAACCTCTTGTGAGTTTGGTCAGCATTAAGCTCCAGCTCATGCTGCTTCTCATGAAGGAATTCCAGCAGTTCTTGAACCTGTGTCGCAAGATCGATGTCTTTTTCACAAATCAGCTCAATGCCTGCAACATGCAGAGAGAGAGATCATTGCACTTATTTGAAATTTCAGTTGTTGCACAAATGTAAGCTTCAAAATTTTTTGCCACCTAACACATTGATTTGCAACTCTGAGTAATTCTTTCTCACTAAACTCTCTCACATGCAATATTTGGCTTTCCCAGTTTCCTATTCTGCATCACTACATTTTTCTACAAAGTGTTTCTCTGGTGATCATTGCTCATCTCACCCATCAGCATCTGGCTAATACGACATGATTTAACCACAGCCTTGCTCAAAAACTTGCACGAACATCACATAAAAAGACAGAAAAAACCTCCCTTTCTTACAGTAATTCATTAACTTATACTTTAGAAATGCATGTTGAAAAGAACTTACAAGAGAAAAAAGATAAGGAAGAAAATAGAAAAGTGGAATAAAGGAAGTAAACTCTAGTTGCCAGGTCTACAGTAGTGCTACAAGTGCGTGGAACTCCACAGCGCAAACTTTTTTTTCCATCTGGGCACTTTAGAGGATCATTAACAACAATTTAGTTTAAACCAACCTATAGTTCATTCAGAATTATTCCACAGACCGACTTTCATCCAATCCTCACATACCAGAGAGAAAAGGTGGCCTAGTACCACATTCCCCATCCCTTGCATCCTGCTTGAAATTGATAAATCCCTGAATGACCTGGTCTGATTTCATAGCTGACCCTGACTTGATCAGGAGGTTGAAACAGAGACCTCCTGAGTCCCTTCCTACCTCCTGAATTTTCTTATGACCCTACGAGCCTTGTGTGTAGTGGTTACATGAAATACAATGCAGAGCTTCACATCTTCCTTCTTTATTACACTGGTGTGATAGCATTGCCAGTGTTATTGTGAAAGTTTGGCCTGGAGGAAATATGACGTCATCCCACGTTACTGTAATCCCTGTGATTATAAACTAATAAAAACCTGACTCTTCTCTTATTGAGGTCTACTGGAATTTTGCCATTGGCCTCAACACAGGAAAGATAAGGAACCTAATATAAAAATAATCAGATTGCACTAATGCTGAGAAAACACTATGCTTTTCTCCAAAGCCATTTGATTTCGTGGAATTATAGGTAATTAAAAAAGAAATGTGTTAATTAGAAGCTGCTATACAAAAGGCTTGGACACTATTTTTAAAACCCATTAGAAAGATGCCTTTTCTTCCCCTTTTATCCTCCTCAGAGGCTTGTGACTTTCATTCTCCCTCACAACGATATCTACAGAGGACAGTACACAAAATAAATATGACCTTATGATTGACCCTATCCCCTTTTTCCTGGTTTCTGGTTTTATCAGATAAAGCACATGGGAATGCAAGTGATTGGCTTATTCCCTTTCCCAGCCAAAATAAAACAGTTTCTTCATTACCAAATAAAGTGGCTTCCCATTTAGAACTGGAAATTTAATATATGTTTCTATTCTTGGCAGTGAAGTTCCTTTCAATTGCCAGACACCAGGCATTGTTGCTACAATTAGCCTGCATATGGTTCTGTATCCTCAGGACATGATGGCTTTTTGTATGCTTGACTTCACCACACCTATTCGATATTAAATGCACAGTTTTCCCTCATGCACACTCAGCTGGTATGGTTTTGATTGTGCTAACTCATCAACAGCAACCAGTGAACTGCCTGGGATGCTATCCAAGGGCAGCCTGCACTCCCTATGATGAATGGTCTGCCCTTTCTTGCTTGTCATATGTCATGCAGATTTATTCTACAGTGCCAGCGCATGCGGTGAGAGTACTTACTCTTCTCAAAGATTGCTTTGCAAAATAGAAAGCCTTGTTTTCAGAATAATTTCATACATATTATCTTTACATTGTGTTTTGATAAATAGAAAAGCACAGCTGATTTTCTGATAAACTGAACTTGGTTGCCATTTTCTTCTAATGTCTCAACCAGTGCAGCAGATATCAAGTGAAGCATAATGAATTGAAAATGTTTTAAAACAATATTACAGAAAAGAGTACCGAGCTACACTAACTGGCATCCTGCAAAACATACATTAGTTACACCTGAGCTATTTGCAATGCAAGATACTATTCAGTGTAAGGAAGGGGTATTGCTTTTTGACCTGTACAAAGCTGTTTCGAAACTGCTTTGAACCTGTTCTTAGGTTGAACTATTAAAAGACAGGGAAGTTTAGTATCCTCTTCCTTGCAATATAAACTATAGTTACAGCTAACTATAAATGACACCACAAACAAAATGAAATAGATTTGCATTTTCCTTTTAAGCAATGCAACACTAGGAAAAGACGTGAACGATGTTAGCTTGACAACCAGGAAACAAAAGGGCTTTGAATTTTCCACATAACCGGTAGGGACTGTAAATTTCCCCAACATCAGCTTTGCAGTGTATTTCAGGCTTGACTTAGACAAATTGCTTCTAAGACATAAAAAGGTAGCTCCGTAAGCCTTGAGCAACTCCTAACTGTGGTGCTCATTATGACAGTGATACTGACTGCAAATGGACTTTAATAACCAAATAAATTTGTGCAATCAATTAGTCAGCTATTAGAGTGCAACTACTTTTAGTACCTAGAAGCAGAATGACTAAGGTGCATATGCTAATGAATTCCATGAACGTGTCATCACTGCAGCTCGGGTCAAGATGTTAAATCACTGTTGAATTATGATCCTAAACTTTCCATAAAAAAAAGATTTCTCAGAAATGTCCGAGCTTGCCACTTTTGGAAACATCAGGCCCTTTCAACATATCAAGTTAGACACCCAAAAATCAATATCCATTTTTGAGAATATTTAGCTTTGCTATCAGTAGTAGAGCTACAATCAAACTGGAAAAATAGAAGATATGTTCATTGAAATAAAAAGTGTTGGCTCATGTTTCCTGAAGGACACAGATTTTAGTGAGACATGAACACAATTTGAAAGTACTGCAAAATTTCAGAAAACACAACCTGACTTCCAGATCTTATATATCCCCTAACAAAACCAAACATTTCTTTGAAGAATAATTATTCCGATGGTGAAAACAGGCTAATTCAAACCAGGCTCACCCACATGTGCTGGAGAAGTGAAAGGAATCGCAGGAACATAACTCTGAGCTGTATGGAGTTTTGGAAATACTGGACTTGCGTAAATGCGTCGCATGCATGGATGCCCTGAATATCTGCACAGAGTCTGATATGGTGCATCAGAGGACCACTGTATTTATTGTACCAACATGACACTGTTCACTTTCAGACACTCCACAGCCTGGTAAGAATCACTGCTCCAAATCTGCATCAGACACGCAAAAATCATGGGCGAATGTCTAAAACCTTCTTTTTGTACCTGCACAAGATTTCCAAGAGAAAAAGGCATCATGTGTGGAAAAACCGGGATGTAATTTTATCTGACAGACTTACTAGCTTAAAGACCTCCAAGCCAAATGCCAGAGTAATCAAAATTGAATCAGTTTCCTATGTGACATGATAAAAAGAATAAAGCTCAAAGAGAATTATAGGGAAGGGAAGAAACTTGGTCAATTCAGAATGGCTGGTTAGGTAGAATGTCCTTGAAAAAATCACATTTTTTCTGGCTTTATCTTCTACAGCTACAGCTGAGTTTTGATTGTAGCAGTGGTGACACTGTACAATAGGAAGCAGCAATAGCAGCTGATTTCCCAGAACCCCTGCAAGTTCACAGCTCTGGCAGTAAGAACAATCATCCCTTAACTTATGCACTGAATGACTATGATATAGGATTCAGGAAGAGGGAGTAAAATTAAATGAATTTTTTATGGAGTATAACTGTCTTTTATTGAAATAAGAAACAGTAGGCTCCCAAGAGCAATCTCTCTCCCTTATTTTGCCATTCTCCCAGCATTTAGCATTCCGTGCATGGCAGACATGACCATTACCTTTGATTAACTACAGTTACTCTACATCCCCATGAGGCTTCTGCTTCCTTGCCTTTGGGAGCAACGGATTTTTATTGGGTAGGCTTCATAGAAAGTGATCTTAGATAATCTTATAAAAATATTTTAGAAGTCACTTCATTTAGTTCCTAATCTTTTGTCTGCAATCCAAAAGAAGTTGTTTCTAACTTCTTGACAAACACAGATTTTTTTTTTTTTTTTTCTTCCTAAAAATCAGTCAGCACAAACTCCTGACCGTGCTCTGTTCTGGATCATATTCTTTACCTCCCATGGATTCCTACTCATGTTAAGATTCTTCCAGGATGAAGGGGGGGGAAGCATCTTAACTGATGTATTAGGACAAGTTTTCTATTCCAGAAAGCAAGGGAGCTGAAGCACAGGACCAGGCATAGTGTGGGCAGATCTCATAGAAGCTCAGACACATGGTTCACACAATGCACCGGATTGTCTAGTTCACAACATGCTCTTGCAGCAGTCCTTAAGCCTCTGCTGAGCACAGCTTGCCAAATCAGGCTGAATACTGCCAGATTTTTTTAAAGGTGGGTGTCTAGAGGTAAAACGTTTGCCAAAGAATAAAACCATAAAAATCCTTTTTATTTCGAAAGTGTAAATTGGGAGGGAAAGAACAGGAATTGCTCCTGCTTTGCACTCTTTCCAGACATCTAAGAAGGTTAAAACACTTCACAAGTAACATTCACTTCTGGACTTTATGCAGTGATTAATCTGAATTATGATATTCCTTTTCCAAATGCAAAATGCAAGGATACAAAAGTCCTGATTCATAGGATGTCTTCAAAATAGGATCCTACTGCTGAGAAGCAGAGTAAAAGTATCAGACTCCCTATCAACATGAATCATTTAAGAGTGCATGCCAAAGGTTTTTTTTACATCCAAGTTGCTACCTTTAACTTTCAAGTGCACACTGAACAGGAAAATTCCAGTATGGTTTATCATATTCCCTTTTTATACAATATAACTCAAATTAGAGCTGGCTGGAAACAAGAGTTCCATTTCATGACTGGTTTCAAGGCTCTCATATTTGGATTCTTTCCCAGAGGGCTCTTGGATAACTAGCTTCTTTCTCCCCTCACTCCTCTCTCTCTCCCTCGGGCATGTCTGCACCCTGAAATGTGGCACAGGGAAAAGGTACTCAAGTCTGCGAAGAATGAAGCCAGCACATCTGGTCAGTTTGCCTCTCAATGAAGTCTAGCTGCAGAAAGGTTAAAAAGCTTAGGAGTCTAGAACAACTAGACTTCATCCAGACCTGAGGTCTGACCAGCCAGCTAAAGTATCTGTAACTCATTATTCCCTGCCGTGCTTGTTTCTGAGCTGGTGAAAGGACAAGGACCTACCAGTGTAACTTGTCTTGCCCTCCCTTCTCCATCCACTTTGGAATTGATCACAAACTCCATCCTGCAGTTGTGAAACTTTCTGAATGAAACTTGAAAGTCAGCTTTATTTCCTCAATAGTTTCAGTCTCAAAGAAACAGCAATTTTTGACATACAAGCCTGAATGAAAGAATTCCCAAAACTTGTGGAACAGTTCTGGAGTGGAGAGACAGGTATTGTCCATACTTACTTATGTTAAAAGCTGATGTATTTGGTATATATTGGGGTATTTTTGCTTGATATGCATTTTTTGGGTTTTGGTTTTTTTCTTGTTTTTTGTTTTTTTCTCATGTAAAATAGAGATCAAATTGTTCTGCTCACCTGAAGCCTGGACCTCCATGATGTATTGGTGTAAATCTTGCCCTTGCTGGATAACTTCAAAGGTCATGTTGTTCATGGCCAATTTCCGCTCAGTGTGACGCTGCAAACGCTGCTCAGCCAGAGTGAGGTCTTCAGTATTGAAATCATTCATTTGTCTCAGCAGATCTTCATTCCAGGCATCTAACTCTGCTGTAACCTTCATGGGCAGAAGACAGACACTGCATTCACTCAAGATCAATGAAAAAATCTTACTCTCAAACTGTTTGGATCACAAAAGTGCTTCACATTTTGACTCTGATCCAGAAACCTCCAAACCACAGCTTCAGTACATTCTGGATCCTGCCCACTTAATGGCCACGCTTAACATTTCGCTTTGGTGAGGATCTGTGAAAAGATTATTGGTCCAACATGAAATATTTTTCCCTTACACATTCTAAAGGGCACTGTAAGAGAAGATCCACTATATTCTCATGGATGGTAGAGATAATGTTTCTGAATAAATTCAGATTTAAATGAAGAAGTAATGCTTACATAATTGCAAAACAATTTGTAATCCCAAAATGGCCTGAATGTTTCTAAAAACATTTTGCAACACACTGTATGTTACATATTACAGATGGAAATACTATTTATTCTATCTTCATAGAATTGAAATTATAAGCTGCTTCCATTAAGCCCCAAAACAGGGATAACTAATACCTCTTCAGAATTATTATATTGATATAATGTATTGTGAACAGTATCTACCCATTGTTCACAGAAAATGCATCATGATTTTATTATGAATTTGTGAGTTAACCCCCACAGCATTGATTGCAGTTGTACAATGAGTCCTATGCTGTGCTTTCAGGGACTTACAGTCTCTTATAAGGATCTTTCCGTTGTTTTCAGTGGACTTGGGAACAGGCCCTGTATAACTTTTTTCTCCTGTGGATATGAAAGCTTTTACACTGGGGAATGAATATAAATAATTCACTTTTACAGACGGTGAAAGCACAGCACAGAAACATCTCAAGGCTAGGTGAATCACCAGTAGAATCATGAATGGTACCTGGCTCTAACCAAAGACCTATATAACCTGCCAATAACTCGTGGGAACACGCAAAATTTCTGTTGCTTTCTTTGCTTACTGATTATAACACACAGTCTGATGATTCTAGCAGTCCATTTCCTGTATCTTCTGTATTTTACATTTTAGCCCACAAGTAGCCAACCAGTATCAAAGTCCTCCTCTGGTTTTGCCTGTTCAATTAAAGCAAGATCTAGCCTCCACCAAAACAGCACAGTCTCACCTCAACCTAGATTCTGCTACTACAGACAAAAAAGAGGGAACGTGCTAGTAACAATGAATGAAGGAAGGGGAACAAAGGGAATGGGAATTAAATCATGCATATAGGCTAGTACTGTGCAGAATACAATTTTTAAAAGTATTTTAAAATTATTAAATAAATGCCTTAATTCCGATTCATAGGTCAATTCCTCATAGCTAGCTAGATTCAGGAGAGCTAAAACTAGGTATCTAAATTCCCACTTGTGCGTGTTATGATGTAGTGAAAAGTTCTCTGTTTCTCACTAAAGGTACTCCAGTGCTTGTGTGCAATGAGATGCTTAACTTCCTAACTAGCCAAGACTCAAAATTTTCTATTCAGTTTTCCTTTCCAGAAAGCATACACTATATCCAATGCAGGCACAGGAAGGCAACCGAAATGAACCATCTCTCAGACTTTCTCACATTAGCATGGATGGGAGTGCACAGTTTTGCATTAGAAGGGAAAACATAAGCAGTTTTTAGGCTCTTTCTTGAGAGAAGCAGAAAAGCAGATTTACTCAACCAAGAACCTGAGACCTCTGCTGCAGGGTGAAAGGCAGAGCGTGGCCATCCTGAGGGGCTTCTATTTTTCTTCAGCTTGTTCCATTGCCCATTCCACTCAATTACCTTTAAATAATAGCTATCTCTACAGTCTCTTTGGCCCCATTCCTGATTCCAGCAGCCTCTGATTCATTCACATGTCGTAGCTGGAGTTCCTGGACTGTGGAGGCTTATTGGCAGATTTAACAGTTACGGAGAAATGGTCAAAGTAGATGCTGGAGAAGGTTTTTACTAGATACATTTACATTTAGAGACAGATCTTCAGCTAACAGTAATCAGAACTGAGATGGTCTTGACCATGTTTCAAAATACAAACAATGGAATGAATTTAGAGTAAGTGCAGGTTCCTACAGTCATGACAATAACACTTAAAGTTCAATGCAAAGCTCTTTCTGCTCTTTCTAGTGGAAAGGCATGTGATATAAATGAATCAGAAGAATTTTATTTTCTATGAGCTATCAAAAATATTGTCTTGTTGAATTCATTGCATTGATTGTCAGGCTGCTAAAATAATTATTTGAAATTTTGCAAGGATTCACAAAGTACTTCCCAATTTCCTGTGAACATTCCCACGCATGCGCACTCAGGAAGATGTCTAACATCATTTTTAAGTGGCAGTAATAGAAAAGATTAAAACAATCAAAGAATGTGTTATATTAGTTTGCTCTGACAGCCATGATGCTACGATTGGGGGATTCTGATCGAAACAAAATCCCTCCATCCCGTTTATGTCCATGGACGTCATCCCCAGGACAGGAAAATGCAGATCGTTCCGAGGGTTGAACTGTCAGGGGAGTCGATGATGGGCATATGAAGGAATCAACAAATGTTTCCCCAAGTACGCTGAGATCCAGCACTTCTACAAAACTGCCTGGGTAAACCTCTCTGCTGTAGTGCTGTTTCTCTTAGTAACTTTTCCACTTGGCTGTGGAAGGGACACTGAGCAGCATTGCTTTTATCATTAAATCTACAATAATTTCCACTCAAGCACAGGGAAATGGCTGTTCCTGACTGTACTGCTTTTCACCCCTTAGGCACGAGCATCCGAGACAGGTCTCTAGCAGAGGGGCACTATCATTCTAGACAGGGATTGCCTCCCAGGCAACCAGTGCTCCTTGTGCTCATGTCAGCAGCCAGCTTCCACCAGGCTCCCCACACAGGAGCAGCTGCACCTAAATATTTACCTGTCCTATTAGCTATTGCAAGGTACTGAAGGGTTTATGCTCCATTATCAACACTCCCCAGTTCAAATCAGTGGTTCCAATTAAAGAAGAAAGGACAGTACAGGCAGTCAGGACATGAGCTGATAAATTCCTCGGGATGCAAGGCCAGTCCAGGGGGCTCCATCTCACATTGCCAGGACTGGGAACAGGGGCTAAGACTGCACCCGAGTGGCTCTGGACAGTCGGACAGGTCTAACAGGTCTTCTTAGCCCAGTGCCAGCTCTGCCAGGGCCAGGAGCGCAGCCACCAATGGAGGGGAGAAGAAGGAAGGAGGGAAGTTGCCTCTGAGTGGGGACTGATGAGGGAGTGACAATCACCCCATGTGCTGGGTTAGGGGAAGAGAGGAAGGAGTCAGGCACAGCAAGAGGTGGAACATCACCAAATTTCTCAGGCAAAGTGTGTACGGGAAGGTTGGGTACATTGCTCTGAGTAACTGAGACAAACAGATGGCTAGAAGGGAATCTAAAGCACACAAAGGCAAAGAAGCAATAGCAGAGCTGTGATAACAAGCCAGGTTTCCTGACTCCCAATCTGGTGCCCTATCCCAGAGACCATGCTGCTTTGCATAGCTCATTAAGACATTTCCTTTTCTGTCTGTACAGCCAATGCCTCAAAATCCCTGCATTTTCTGTACTTCAAACCGGACCATTTGGAAATGGTCCCAGAGTCTGAATTGAGTCCCTAACTGGTTTGACTTGGGTATAGGGAAAATTACTTATTTTTCTTCAGGAAGAAGCTGTAATTAGGCAGCTCTGTTAACTACAGATGTATATTTTTCAACTCTAAAAAAGGACTTTGGATGCTCTCACAGATTGGTCAGGCATTGACATCTATGGTGAAACTTGGACTGCATCAGACAAAAGTGTCCTACCTCCTAAGCTGTGGTAAGAGCCAATTGCACTGAGCCTGTGTCAGTAATTGTCTCATAAATGAGGCTCACTTGGCCATGAACTTGTTTAATTCCCTTTTGACCCAGAACAATGGCTCACTAGAGTTTACTCTGTTCATCTGTTAGATTTTTGGTGGGAAGAACTGACGGCACTTCTTATGTTTATTCACTTTACTTCCCAGTGTTTGTGATTCTAAATAGACCTTAGCATCCCTCACATGCCCCGAGAGAAGAGCAGCCCTGCCTCAAGAGAAGCCCTGAGCTCTGCTCTGTTCTGCTGTGGCATGAGAGACAAATCGTACAAATGCAGAAGGGTCATGAGAGCAGCAACAGTGGCAGTGCACACGTCTGCATTAGCAAAAGCAGCAGACTTAACTCCAGGTGCCCACACTATTCCAAGGAAAGCTGCACACATGCCTCATTGTCAGCCACACTCCAGCTGACTCCTTGGAAGGAGCCATGCTCCTTCGTTGCAGGTCATATAAGGTTGGTGGCCAAGAAACAGCTCCCTATTACTAAAGGAAGGTCAAGTGACCTCAGAGTGCTAATGAGAGAGAAAGACACGACAAAGTTATTGATTGACAATGAGTCTAGAAAGCGCATTTTTTCATTCTCCACCTGAAATAGATGCTCCTGCTGCCATGATAACGGGAAGGGAAATAATGCTGGTCGTGAACCCAATCTAGTATTAAATGAGATACCTGAGATATCCTTATCAGAGCAGTGGAGGCAGCGCAAGAGTTAACTTCAGCACATGAGCAAATACTGGGTTTGTGCTGAGCTCCATGCTACTATCACAAGGCTATACTAGATATACAGACTATGTCAGCCAGGTCTGTTTTTCATGCAGACACAGCGACCACAGTCTAGACCACATACTCTTTAGGCAGGAACCCTCCTAAAGCAGCAACTTAATATACCCAAATTTCCACTGCTGCAATACTGCGGCATTTGCTGCTTCCTGGATTTATCATGTTGCAACACCAGCAGATAACATGACCAAAGGGAGAGAGACGTGTTCATCTTCAACCCTGGAGAAAGAGGAAAGGTATAGAGAAGAGGTACGCAGGTGAAAAGTAATAGCAGTACTAATAACAACAGTAGCAGTCCAGCCATCTCATGCCTACATTGCAGCCTGCTTGTGAATTAGGCTAAAGAGCCTACCTGAGCTGCAGCAGCTGCTGTACAACCAATTATACAGCTGTAATAATTTC